AAGGAAGGAAGGAAGGAAGGAAGGAAGGAAGGAAGGAAGGAAGGAAGGAAGGAAGAAGGGAAGGGAAGGGAAAGGAAAGGAAAGGAAAGGAAAGGGCAAAGCAAAGCGAGGGATGGAGGGAGATAGTCTATCCATGGATTTATGCATAGGACTATGAAAATTCTGTGACTGGCCAAGCGCAGTGGTTCATGCCTGTAATCCCAGCACTTTGGGAAGCCGAGGTGGGCAGATCACTTGAGCACAGGAGTTCGAGACCAGCCTGACCAACATGGTGAAACCCCGTCTCAACTAAAAATACAAAAATTAGCCAGGTATGGTGGCGGGTGCTTGTAATCCCAATTACTTGGGAGGCTGAAGCAGGAGCATTGCTTGAGCCTGAGAGGCAGAGGCTGCAGTGAGCCGAGATCGCACCACTACACTCCAGCCTGTGTGACAGAGCAAGACTCCGCCTCAAAAAAACAAATAAATAAAAAATAAAATACAATACAATAAGAAAGAAAGAGAGAAGAAAAGCATCCACAAATTCCACTGGCATAAACAAGCAAAGGATTGGGCATTTCCCCACTCCCCACTGCCCCCCACACACACACATGCACCTCCAGCAGCCCCATCAGAGAGGAAGCCGCTAGCCCAGCCCCTGGGGGTCACCCACCTTGGCCAAGGCAGCCCCGAGCAGCCCCCCGAGGAGCTGTGACACCCAGTACGGGAGGAGCATCACCAGGTTGAGGCCTCCGATCAGCATGGCTGCCAGGGACACCGCAGGGTTGAAGTGTCCACCACTGTAACCCACAAGAGCAGAGGAAGACATGAGCCCAGGGCTGACAACATGACTGGCACTTGAGACAATGTGTCCCAGCCAGCCCACCAGGCTGGCCTCGCAGGGTGAGTCAGTGTAGGGCCCAGCTCACATACATGGCCACAGTTCAGATTGAGACACCAAGGTTCCAAGTTAGTAGCCCAAGAGCTGTATCCAGGCCTCCTCTTATGATTTGTTTGTTTTTATGAGACAGAGCCTTGCTCTGTCACCCAGACTGGAGTGCAGGGGCGTGATCTCAGCTCACTGCAACCTCCACCTTTTGAGTTCAAGCAATTCTCCTGGCTCAGCCTCCCAAGTAGCTGGGGACCACAGGCACGTGCCGCCATGCCCGGTTTATTTTTGTATTTTTAGTAGAGGCGAGGATTCGCCATGTTGGTCAGTCTGGTCTCGAACTCTTAACCTCAAGTGATCCACCCACCTCGGCTTCCGAAAGTGCTGGGGTTACAGGCATGAGCCACCGCACCTGGCCCAGGCCTCCCTTCATGAGCAGCTAGGCCCTGAATCAGAGAGCTTCTGATCGATCAGTTGAACTGCTCAGCCAATGAAAACCCTACTTGTGGTCTGAAAGTGTGATGGGTGTAAAATGCAGATTCAGAGTTCAGGCTGGAAATGGCATTGAGAACCCTGGCCTGGGTTCAAGGCCCAACTCTGCCACTGTAGAGCTGTGTGACCTTGGCCAAGTTACATAACCTCTCTGTAGCTCAAGGATCTCTGCCTGATAAAGCTATTGCAAAGACATAAAGAATTAGCACATGTAGAGCCCACAGTACTATCTATGTAGTTAACACTCAGTAAACCTCAGCCATGATTATTGCTCACATTTGTACCCCTGCACACAGAGCTCCAGCAACTTGCTGTGGTCACCCAGCTAAGAAGTGATAAAGGTTCCATTCAGTCTCAGATCCGTCCAAAGGGAAGATCATGTACTTTTTGTTTCACTCGCAACCTCCCTTGGATGTCTAAAGAGATGTGGTTTGTTTTGTTTTGTTTTTTGAGACAGAGTTTCACTCTGTCACCCAGGCTGAAGTGCAGTGACGTGATCTCGGCTCACTGCAACCTCCCCCACCCAGTTCAAGCAATTCTCCTGCCTCAGTCTCCCAAGGAGCTGGGACTACAGGTGCCTGCCACCACGACCGGCTAATTTTTGTATCTTTTGTAGAGACAGGGCTCCACCCTGTTGGCCAGGCTGGTCCCAAACTCCTGGCCTCAGGTGATTCACCTGCCTCGGCCTCCCAGAGCGCTGGGATTACAGGTGTGAGTCAGTGCACCGGCATAAAGAGATGTTAAAGCTCTTTTCCATTCTGGTTTTCTGAGAAACGGTATTTCTGTTTCCTCATGCAGATCTATTTTTTGAGTGAGATTTAATACAAACCAACCATGTCCCAGATCACCCTGCCAGGCACCCCATTCAAGATCTTCGTCGTGATGGCTGGCTCTCCTGGGAACTCCCCATGGAGCCTCTACGCAGACGAGAGCTAAGCCAGAGAGCCTGTCCCTTTCCCTGCCCCTCCTTCCCGATCACCTCTTGACAAGCCGGGACCACTGCAGATCCCTGTATACCCAGGTGGGAAAACCTGGCTCAGGTCTTCTGCACATTTCCGCTTTCCCTAAAACCCCCTTCTAGTGGTAACAATCACACGGCAACCAATACCTATTGAGTGTTTGGTGTGCGCCAGGTGCTCTACTTCATTTAATTCTCATGCCTCCCCCATGAGGTCCTTGGATTTGAGCGCTGTAGCCAGACGGCTTGTTCTTGACTCTTGCTCTTCCACTCTCCGGCCCTCTAAACTTGGACAGATTACACAGCCTTTGCCTTTTGTAGCTGCAAAATGGGCTAATAACAGGACCTACCCCACAAGGCTTTTATGAGGATTAAATAACTAATATCTACCAAGTGATTAGACTAGTGCCTTGTATATGGTTAGCAGTATAGACATGTTGGTTTGAAAAAAAAGTCATTTAAAAGTATGCTACTGGCCGGGCACAGTGACTCACGCCTGTAATCCCAGCACTTTGGGAGGCCGAGGAGGGTGGATCACAAGGTCAAGAGATCGAGACAATCCTGGCCAACATGGTGAAACCACGTCTCTACTAAAAATACAAAAATTAGCTGGTCGTGGTGGTGTGTGCCGAGTAGTCCCAGCTACTCGGGGGGCTGAGGCAGGAGAATCGCTTGAACCCAGGAGGCAGAGGTTGCAGTGAGCTGAGATGGCACCTTTGCACTCCAGCCTGGATGACAGAACAGAGAGAGACTCCATCTCAAATAAATAAATAAATAAGCAAGCAAGCTACTGTTCCCATTTTATAGATTGGGAATTTGGGGCTTAGAGTGACTTGCCAGCCAAGCATGGTGGCTCACACCTGTAATGCCAGCACATTGGGAAGCCAAGGCAGGAGGATCACTTGAGACCAGGAGCTCAAGACTAGCCTGGGCACAGTGAGACCCCATCTCTACAACAAAATTTAAAAATTAGCTGGGTACAGTGGTGCATGCCAGTGATCCAGCTACTCAAAAAGAGAGTGACTTGCCCAAAGTCATGAGCTCACAGGCTTCGGGGTCTGGAGTTGACCCCAGACAATCTGACTCCCAACCCCATAGTTAACCACAGTGCTCCTTCAAATCCTGAATAGGTATGCACCCAGGGGTCCTTGACAACAGCTTTGCTTTCCACCCCCAGCGCCCCTAGTCAGCACCAGGCTGAATGCTCGGAGCCAGTCTCACCTGATATTCCCCAGCGTGGCAATCACGAGCCCCAAAGCCAGCCCGTGGGCCAGGGCAGGCTGCAGCACCCCAGTGTCCATCCCGTTCTCGATGACCGACAGGCACCCGATGAAGATGAAGAGGGCAGAGCCTAGCAGTTCAACCAGGCAAGGCTGCACCAAGCGTTCGTACCAGGATGCTTGCCATCTGCCTCCCACGCTCGGCTCCCTGGCCTTGCCATTGCCAAATTCAAGCTCGCACATGGCTCTCTGCCATAGGGAAAAAGGGACAGCGGACACGGGTGGAGGCTAGTCCAGATTTAGAAGGGCCCGGCCTCCAACCTTGAATTAATTCACAGCCCCCCTTGCTCTGCCACCCTGGAGAGGAAGATGCCGGCAGAAGGCTCACCTCTCCGGACATTGGGATCAGACGGCACAAGCCTCGGGCTCTTGACTGAGCTGCTGGGAAATCCGCACCTGCCGTCCAGGACGGTCTTATCTCCTAGGGACAGGACCTGCTGATCACACTACAGGCTCTGCCCCTTTTAAAGGGCTGCAGAGGCTCAATGCACTTGCAGAGAAAGCAATAAAGCCCAGGTAGGAGGCGGCTCTGTGGCCCAGAAGAGGAAACTTTTTTAAAATCTCAACAGGGCAGGGTGAGGGAGTCAGAGATTGCTAAACTTTCTGCGAATGAGGGAAAAACACACCCGCTTGGCTGTGTCATCTGGGAGCACACTCCATGCCATAGAAAGTGGGAGATGGGACCAGCACCCCAGCTCCCCACAGTCCAAAGCAGACCAGCGCATGTAAGTGGGCCCCATCAGGTTGGAACCTCACATGTTAAGAAACAGGAAACTCAGCCAGGTGCAGTGGCTCACACCTGTAATCCCAGAACTTTGGGAGTCCAAGCTGGGTGGATCACTTGAGGTCAGGAGTTCTAAACCAGCTTAGCCAACATGGTGAAACCCTGTCTCTACGGAAGGAGGATTGAATTAGCTGGGCATGTTGGTGTTTGCCTGTAATCCCAGCTACTCAGGAGCATGAGGTATGAGAATCACTTGAACCCGGGAGGCAGAGGCTGCAGTGAGCCGAGATAGCGCCGCTGCACTCCAGCTTGGACGACAGACTGAGACCCTCTCTCAACAAAAAGAAAGAAAGAAAGAAGGAAAGAAACAGCAAACTCATCTTTAAGTATTTTTCCACTGATTCCCGTGGCCTCAAACACCTGCAGTCACCCTGACAGCCTGAGCCAGGACTGAGTGTATAGATGATCCTTCACTGAGCGAGGCAGCGGAGACTAGCAACGAGTAATGCAATGCAGCAGCAAGACCCATGGACTTTGGAAACGGGCTGCCTGGAGTTCAGTCCCAGCTCTGCTGTAAACTCGCCTTGTAACCTTTGGGCACATGACTTGGCCTCTCCGGCCCTTTGTTTTCTCATCTGTTAGGTGTGGATGTTAGAGGTTGCACCCATGTCATAGGGTCGTAGGGAAATTTAAATGAGCTAATATGGGTGAAGTGTTCAGGACAGTGCTAGACACACAATACCAGCGTCCACTAATTTACAATACATGCTTAGCTGTAACTAATAGCTAATAGTGAACACATTCTATGTGCCAGGCACTGGGGCTAAGTGGCTTCTATTATCTCATTTAAACCTCACTGCCACCCTGTGAAGCAGGTACTACTATTACAGCTTTTTCACAGATGAGGAAGTGGAGTGTCAGGAAGGTTGAGTTTCCCAGGATTATACAGCTTATATGATCACAGAACTTGTGGGCTGTCACAGAAGGATAAATACTGTATATGATTCCATTTGTATGAAGTACATAGACTAGTCACATTCATAGAGACAGAAGCAGAATGGTGGTTTCCGGGGCCTGAGGGGAAGGAAGGATGAAGAGTTTGTGTTTAGTGGGTACAGATTTCCTGTTCGGGAGGAAAGCTCTGGAGATGGATGATACAGTGCCACAACAATGTGAAGGTACTTAATGTCACTGAACTGTACACTTAAAAATAGTTCAAATTGGCCAGGCACAGTGGCTCACACCAGTAATCCCAGCCCTTTGCGAGACCAAGGTGGGCAGATCACTTGATTTCAGAAGTTTGACACCAGTCTGGCCAACATGGTGAAACCCTGTCTCTACTAAAAATAGAAAAATTAGCTGGGCGTGGTGGTGCGGGCCTATAATCCCAGCTACTTGGGAGGCTGAGACAGGAGAATCGCTTGAACTTGGGAAGCATAGGTTGTAGTGAGCTGAGATCGCACCACTATGCTCCAGCCTGGGTGACAGGGCGAGATTCCATTTTAAAAAAAAAGGTTAAAATTGCATATTTTATTTTATGTATTTTGCCACAGTTGGAAAAATAAAATACTTGTGGGCTAACCCACTACACTCTACTGCCTTTCTAGGAGGGATGAATGGATGGATGGATGGATGGATGATGGATGGATGGATGGATAAGTGGATGGATGGGTGGATGGATGGATGGATGGATGGATGGATGGATGGATGGATGTTTAGATAAGTGGATGGATGGTGGGTGGACGAATCGATGGGTAAGTGGATGGATGGATGGTTGGTTAGATAAGTGGTTGGATTGGTGGGTGGATGAATCGATGGGTAAGTAGATGGATGGATGGATGGACGGATGGTGGGTGGATGGTGGGTGGGTGGATGGATGGATGAATAAGTGGATGGATGGATGGTGGGTAGATGGATGGATACATGGGTGGGTGGATGGATGGACGGAAAGAAGGGAAGAAAGAAAGGAAAAGAGGAGGGAGGAAGGAAGGGAGAGAGGAAGAAGGAAGGAAAAAAGATGAAATGAGTTCCTTATTCATTCATTCATTCAACAAACACTTAAATAGCTGCTGCAAGCCAGTCACAGTTCTAAGGGCTGGCTGGAGATGTAGCAGTGAATAAGACAGGCAAAGATTCTGCTCTGCACTCGTAGCTCTGTCTCTGAGTGTCTGCATGCACTGACAGAGAAGTAATGCTGGAGCTAAAGGAATTTTAATGATAATTTCTGACATTTCTCAACTACTCACTACATCTCCAACACCGTGCTAAACGCTGTATATATTCATAACCCCCTATGAGAGAAGTCCTATCACTTAGTATCACCATCATCAGATGATTAAAAAAAGGCACAAGGAAGCTTAAGAGCTCACCCAGGCTTGTGTACATAAAAAGTATCTGCTTCAGGCAGAAGCAGATACATCTAGACAAGAGTGGACAGTTTGTTGACAGCCCATGTCAGCGAGAGGCCCAGGAATGCAGGGTCTCTGCTCGACATCTGCACCTCTAGGAAGGCTATCTTTAGCCCTGTTCTCTCCCTCCTCCATGTCCCACATATCCCACAGCACATGGTACAAGATGTTTCTTAGACCCTTCCTTCCCCATTCCTGTAAATAGCAACATAAGACAACATCTGACCCAAGGCTTCCCCATCCCCCTCATTATTTGCTCAAATCGTGCCAGTGCTGCTTCCAGAATAATTCTCTCTTGTTTTCACCCACGCCTTCATCTGTTCTTGCTTAGTCCCTTGAACAAAGACAAGCTACGCTGGGCACAGTTGCTCTCACCTGTAATCCCAGCACTTTGGGAGGCCAAGATGGGAGGATGGCTTAAGGCCAGGAGTTCAAGACCAGCCTGGACAACATAGGAAGAGCCTGTCTCTACGAAAAAAAATTAAAATTAACCAGGTGTGGTGGCAGGCATCTGTAGTTCCAGCTACTCAGGAGACTGAGGTTGGAGGCTCACTTGAGCCCAGGAGGTTGAGGCTGCAGCGAGCTGCGTTTGTACCATTCCACTGCACTCCAGCCTGGGCAACAGAGTGAGACCCTCCCTCAAAAAAAAAAAAAAAGAAAAAGAAAAAGAAAGCAACAAAAAAAACTAACCAACCCTCATTATATACCTGCCAGGTGCTTGGCCCTGCACTGGATACTCCAACATATTCTCTCAATTAATACTTAACGATAACCGATGATGTTCCCCATGGCACAGGCAGCAACCCCTTGCTGGTGTTGCTATGGTAATATCCTCTTCTGGTCTCCTGGCCTCACCTGTCATCCATTCTTTTAACACTGGGAGCCTGCACTTGAGTCTAGGTTCGAGAATCCAAGTGCTCTGTCCCTTTGCTGTGCAATCTCTCAGCCTCAGTTTCCTCTTCTATGAACATGAGCTAATGGTGGTACCTATCCTCATAGGGTTGCTGTGTGGATGAAAGAAGACAATGTGCTTGGCACAGCATCCAACTCAGAGCAAGCACCCAATAAATAGTAGCTCTTACTATGGCCTCTACTAGTCAGAGCGGGCTAACTGCCCTACCAAATAACCCCAACATTTCAACATCTTCACGTATTAAAAATAGAATCTGGTCAGGCATGGGGACTCACACCTGTAATCCCAGCACTTTGGAAGGGCGAGGCTGGCGGATCATCTGAGGTCAGAAGTTTGAGACCAGGCTGGCCAACATGGTGAAACCCCATCTCTACTAAAAATACAAAAATTAGCTGGGAGTGGTGGTGTGCACCTGTAATCCCAGCTAGTCAGGAGGCTGAGGCAGGAGAATCGCTTGAATCTGGGAGGCGGAGGTTGCAGTGAATTGAGATCACACCACTGCACTCCAGCCTGGGCCACAGAGTGAGACTCCATCTCAAAAAAGAAAAAGGATTCTTTGTTCACATAATAGTCCATGGCAGGCTCGTCTCCAAATGGTGACTCAGGGATCCAGGCTACTTCCATCTTGGAGCTGCCCCATCTAGGTCCTTCTCCAGCAAAATGGGAAAAAGAGAATGTGGAGGGCTGTGCAGGAGATTATTATGGTCTGGGCCTAGAAATACTAAATCTCCCTCTCATCTATATATGATGAGCTCAAACTCAGTCACATGGCTTCACCTGACTGCAGTTGAGCCTGGGAATTGTAGTCTAGCCATGTTCCCAGGAGGAAAAAGAAAGGCATTTTATAAATATCAAGCAATTTCTGCCACATAGTAAAAATTGTTGCTTTCCTAGAGACCATGGTTCTAGTTGAGTTTTTTTGGTGAATTAAATGATTCAGTGTCTCCCATGGTTTCAAGACAAAACCAGACTCTCTTAGCTAGCCACAGAGGCTTCAGCTCCTAGTCCCTGAATCATCTCCACATGAACCCAAACAATTTATCAGATAAGCCATGTTCCCTCACCTGGCCCTGTCTATGCCGGTCTCTCTGTTCGGAGTCCTTGTTTGCCCTCCTGGTCAACTTCTACCCCTCATTCAGATCTCAGATCAGATACTACATCCTCCCTGATGCCTGGGCCAACACAGATTAGTGCTCTAGACCCACCCTTCCCTCATTCAAGGTGAGGTTTGATTCCATAGCTCCAAAACTAGTGGCTTCCGGGAAAAACTTGAAAGCCATTTAGGCGAAACAACATATTTCCACTACACGAGAGTTTTGGAATATGTCCTGATGTCCTCATATACAATATACTGGTCTCTCGAAATCACTGAAAACCCCAGTGGGCTAAGGAGATACTGTCTTCCTAAGAAATTCTTTGGCTGGCAAACTTCCTAGTTTTCCAATCCCAGGTTTTCTTGACATGACCAAGGCTTCTAATGTTTATCCCTGTTTGGTTGTCGAGATCTCTCTGCATCTTTTTCAGTCTGCCATCCCCCTGCAGGTCCAGATGGAGTGTAGAAGCAGGTCACATTTTACCCTGGCATCTCACCTTTCCCTTTATTCTTGCCTTGATGGCTGCACTGTTGTGCCAGATACAATGCTGGTGCTGTGGCAGCCATCTTGGACCATATATATAGGCCCAACATAGTGGCTCATGCCTGTAAGCACTTTGGGAGGCCAAGGCAGGCAAATCACCCGAGGT